CGGAAAACATCTTGAGAATTTATACCAGATTGAAATTAATTGAAACCGATGTGTAATTTTTATTCAATTTTGCAAAATTTAAATGTTTAATATTGAACAATTAATATAAGAACATTCCGCGTTTTAAAACTTAGTGAATTAGTATTGTAGCACGTATTTGAAAAATTATATAAACTACAATGTGTTCACCATAATATTGTACGTCCGATAAGCTACGACGACGCAGATGATTACTTTAACTGGCTACTCCAAACTAGCAATTAATTTCTAATAACAGGCCGATTTAAAAAAATTACCGCGATAACATGCGCTCGTAACGAGTTCGATAAGAGACGGTGGAAGTCAGAACTTTTAAAATAGCAATCCATTCTCACTCCTTACAAGAGTATCTATTTATAGATAAAGCAAAAATTAGTAAAATATTGAAAAATACTTAATTGCTGATATTTTGATTATCTTTAAAAGATAAATCTTGATTAGGTATTTAATTAAATTCGTGAATTTTTGGACAGTCCAATATCAAAAGATATCAAAAATATAATCAATAATTAAATGTTTTACATATTGTATTTAGAGAAGTAAACGTTGTATTTCATAGTAATATTGCGAAGTGAAATTATTTATGTTAACATACGATCTATTTTGTAACCACAAATTACTTTGAAATCTAATACTAAATAAGAATGGAAAACATTTTGAATTACAATCTTAGCTAGATCACAGGCATATAACTACGATAGTTATGGCTCTCGGAATTCCGTCTGAGCACCGTAACGAATGCGTAATACTTTTATGGGGAGAACCCTTCCACGTCTCAAAAATACATTTAATTTGTAGAGACCCTTAGAAATGATTCTCTAACCACAATTCCAACTCGGTCGTCTGACAATGAGAAAACTTGGATTCGTTTTGCATGTTCCGCTCTCTCGATCGTTACGGGATTACGAAATTTTGGTATTATGTACTCTGTACATTTGCGTAAATAATGTTTCAAAAGTATATGATAAAGTTTGAGAAGAAAATTGGAATCGACTAATATTAAAATACGTAGGGAAAACGAATCTCAAATATACTTTTGAGTCTTACTTCGTCATATTGAATCATTAATGTGTAAAAGAAAAATTGAAAATGTATCAATCGTTCATTCTGTTTAATAGAGAAACAACTGCCCCCAAAACACCGTTATTTACTGCGCAGCTGCGTGTTCTTTAATCTCTGACCGACATGCGTTTGCCGCTTATTGGCAATCTCGTGGAATTAATTGGCAATTATCTTGTCCTTATTATCACTGCGAATACGTATTCTACATTTACCGACGTCTTTGTAAATTCACGCAATGTGGAAAATAAATATCCTTCTTATTGCATCTATATCTTAGTCCCACGCGTTTAATTAACCATGAACATAGTTCGTTAATTAAGTGGCGAAAATGGTGAAGCATGCAGAACGTTCATTTCCCAAGTAACACAGTCTGGCTATATTCGCTGCAACAGCAAAAATGTAGCTAGTAAAACGTTCTGCCAGCCTTAATTACATCTATTTGGCTGCAAATGCTATTTTGCTGGATTTTTAACTGTAAAAGCGCTGCGATAGTTAATAAAAGAGTCAAAATACAGCCACAGCAATTTTAGCTATATTTATAGCTGTAAAGTCGCTGTGACAACGATCCGAAAATCCAAAATACAGCCACAGCAATTTGAGCTGTATTTATAGCTGTAAAGTCGTTGTGACAGCGATCTGAAAATCCAAAATGCAGCCACAGCAATTTTAGCTATATTTATAGCTGTAAAGTCGCTGTGACAACAATCCGAAAATTCAAAATGCAGCCACAGCGATTTTAGCTGTATTTATAGCTGTAAAGTCGTTGTGACAGCGATCTGAAAATCCAAAATGCAGCCACAGCAATTTTAGCTGTATTTATAGCTGTAAAGTCGCTGTGACAACGATCCGAAAATCCAAAATGCAGCCACAGCGATTTTAGCTGTATTTATAGCTGTAAAGTCGTTGTGACAGCGATCTGAAAATCCAAAATGCAGCCACAGCAATTTTAGCTATATTTATAGCTGTAAAGTCGCTGTGACAACAATCCGAAAATTCAAAATGCAGCCACAGCGATTTTAGCTGTATTTATAGCTGTAAAGTCGTTGTGACAGCGATCTGAAAATCCAAAATGCAGCCACAGCAATTTTAGCTGTATTTATAGCTGTAAAGTCGCTGTGACAACGATCCGAAAATCCAAAATGCAGCCACAGCGATTTTAGCTGTATTTATAGCTGTAAAGTCGTTGTGACAGCGATCTGAAAATCCAAAATGCAGCCACAGCAATTTTAGCTGTATTTATAGCTGTAAAGTCGCTGTGACAACGATCCGAAAATCCAAAATGCAGCCACAGCGATTTTAGCTGTATTAATATTAATGAAAATTATATCATGACATTAAAAAAGTTGAAAACTAGTTTGAACCATTTTGTTTTTGAGATTATATAGAGTGTGAATAAAAGTCTTTAAGATGAAAAAAACACTATTAAACGATTTACAAAAATTTCAAAAATTTAAAAAGAGTAGTACGTTTTACAGAAAAATTGAACAGCACATAAAGAAAACTGATAGTGTAAAATCAAATTTTGGAAGAGATAAAACACCGGATGAGAAATCTATCGCTTCAATATCAAATTTAGTACAAAATGTTGAAAGATTAACAGAAGCATCTGTTTTGTTTGAAGATTTACCGCATAATAAAAATCAAAACGAAAATGTAAATTTTGATTGTTGGAGCTATTGTGATACTGAATCATCAGATAATGACAATCTACGTGAAGATCTAAAGGACGAGTGTATTGATATACGAGAGGCAGTAAAGGAATGGGCACTGACATTTAATATATGCCATAATGCACTAAAGGCATTACTGAATATTTTAATTGAGTTAAAAATACCACATATGCCTCGAGATCCAAGGACATTATTGGAAACACCAAGGTCAGTGAATACTATAAGGATGGGAAGCGGACAATATTGGCACAATGGACTACAGACTTGTCTTAAAAAGTGTTTAACTAATGTAAAAAACTCGATGGATATTGCACTCAATTTTAATATCGATGGATTACCAATTCACAATAATTCAAAGATGCAGTTTTGGCCAATATTGTTTTCAATACATGATTCGAATATTGAACCTATGATTATTGGAATTTATTGCGGAGAAAGTAAACCTCCAACTCCTGATGAGTTTTTAACTCCTTTTGTCGACGAATTATTAATTATTTTAAATAATGGCATTATCATCAACGGATATAAAATTAGTATACATATTCGATGCTTCATATGTGATACTCCTGCCAGATCTTTTATTAAAGGTAATAAGTTACAGAGAAAATTTATTATTAGAGACAATAAAATAGAATAAATAGAAATATTATTAGAATAATTAAGTGTACTGAATATTTTACAATATTTATAGTGTGCATACTTTTTCTAAATAATTATATTTAATTTTATTATAATCTTTTTTACAGGTACTGTTAATTTTAATGGCTATAATTCGTGTCTGAAATGTACGACTACGGGTGAATATTATCATAAAGATCATCGAATAAGTTTTCCACGCATAGACATGCCTAGAAGAACTGATGCATCTTTTCGCAACAGAACCGATTCAGATCATCATAAAATGAATACACCTTTGGAAAAACTTCCAATTGACATGATAAAAAGTATTCCGGTATCCGATTCATTGCATTTATTAGATCTAGGTATAATAAAACGTTTATTAACTGGCTACGTATATGGAACTTTGGGCTTGAAAACTAAATGGTCTGCAAATGTAACTAAATCGGTATCTAATTTTCTCCTTCGGTGTAGAATGCCAAGTGAAATTCATCGAGCTGTTAGAGGACTTGATTGTTTAAAATTTTGGAAAGGGACAGAGTATCGAACCTTTGGTTTATACCTAGGTCCTGTTATATTGAAAGATTATCTATCCGAAGAAATATATCAACATTTTATGTTATTTTTTTGTGGTGTTGTAATTTGTTCTAGCAAGTCATATTCAAACTATTTGCATGTAGCAGATCAGTTATTTAAAATTTTTATAGAACATTACATTAAAATTTACGGTATAAATTCTATTAGTAGCAACGTACATAATCTTTGCCATTTAGTTGATGAAGTAAAGGATTTCGGCGATTTGTCTACCTTCAATGCATATCCATTTGAAAATTGTTTACAAAAAATTAAAAAATTGCTCCGGACAGGAAACAAGCCATTACCGCAAATAGCTCGACGAATTTTTGAAATGAATTTAATACAAACTCCAAATTATAATAATAAAAAATTTCCTATCTTAAAGAATAAAAATTCTGGCAATAATTGTGATCAAAATAAATATAAGCATTTTTTTTACAAAGTCGAATTAATGGACGGAATAACACTAACAAATGAAGATAGAAACAAATGGTTCTTGACAAAAAAAAATAAAATTATTGGTTTGAAAAACGTGACGAGTTTTGAAAATAAAATTTATATATTTGGTTCGTGTTTGAAAGAAGTAAGTAATTTTTTTGAAACGCCGATTGCATCATCTTATTTAAATATATTTTGTTCAAACCGCAAGGAACATGTACCCAAATGGTATGATATAAAAGACATTAAATGTAAATTAGTGGCAATAGAATATCACAAAGATACTGTATTTTTCCCGCTAATACATACTTTGGATTTATGTAGCAAATTAAACACATAGTTAAACGCCAAACAGATCACACACATAAGTATCTTATTTTATATTATAATATCTTTATATAATAATATCTTATTTTATATTATCATTATTATATAACAATAATATTTCAAACTTTTTATAATTAAAAATTATTATAATTATGTAAATAAACATTAAGTAACTTTTTTAAATTGCTTTAAATAAACCAAAAAACTTAAACATTTTGTAATTTATAGTAATAAAATATATCTCTTACTAAAATTGCATCATGTATGTATAATAAAAATAAAGATTCATCTTATAATAAATCAAAATTTTTCATTAATATTACCATTATTTACTTAAACAGTAGCGACAATAATTAAATTCCATCACTATTTTCGGTTGTTTCTTCCTCTATATTTTCATCGTAAATGTTACCACCTTCAAGAATTCTCATCACATTGTTATCATATTCATTATCATTAGCTTCTTCAGAATTTTTATTTTGTTTACTAAAAATAATTATAAATAATTACAAATAAATATGTATGTGTACTTTTAAAAATTATATTTCCAAATTATATTTTTAAATTCCCACTTACTTCTGTTGCTTTTGAAGCTGCTTGTTTCGGCTAACACTGTTTTTAAGAATTCGTTTCAAAAAAGCAATGTTATCATCAATCGTATAACGTAAGTCGGCTAAGTGTAAAATTTTATAAATTGCTTCAATTATTTGATTGTACTTGAAAAAAGCAATTTTGTTATTTTTTTCTTCTTTCTTTTTTGTAGACCCAGTCCATGAACACTGAGTTAACAGTTGTCTTTCAAATAGTCGATCCACCAATAAATATGCTATTTTATTTCCATCCTTCTGACCAGTAGTGCCTCCAATTTCACTCATCACTTTTATCTAAAACATTAGTATTAGAGTATTAATATTTATTTATATCAGTATATTAGTTATATTATTTATATCACACAGTATATTAGTTATATTAGTATTTATTTATATATTATTTAGTATTTATTTATACAATATTGAAAGTATAGAAACTTACAAATGCCAATTTGAATTCTTCATTGCACAGTTTTTTTTCTAAATTATTAATATCCGATTCTATTGCTAGTGGTTTTATTTGTTGTATATCTCTTTCGAGGTTTTCGTTTTTTAATGCATCATTTTCGGATTTCTCAATGATGTTGCTTTGATTTTTAATCAAAAGATCGATTAATTTATCAAATTTGACATGTAGCGCAGATATTTCTCGATGAATATAATTATTCAAATTTTCCAGATTTGAATTTATTGTGTTTAATTTTTCTCCTACTGAAAAAGAAAACATTTAAAAATGTGTTATATAATATTAAATAGATAATAATATTTTTATATATATAGATATAATATAAAAATTAAAATTATAAATACATAAATATTTAATCACTTACTTTCAACAACGTCTAACAATTTCGGAGAATTATTCATGGTCAATGTAGAAATTCCATTATCCTTAATTAAAGTTGCATTTATAAATTCTAATGCAGTTTCCGAATCTTGTGAATTTTGTGGAATTTGTACAGAGATTGGAATATTATCACTGTGATAAATTTCTACATTTTTAGTTAGTTCAGTGTCTACGTTGTTATTTATTATATTATTGTTTGTCATTAAATTATTAAAATCAATATTCCTCTTCTGTGAAGACTGTGTCTGTTTTGAAGAATTCTGTGCTAAATAACTGTAAACAAATATTGTTTCAAGTAAATTTTAGATATTTGATATTCAAAATTTTTTCAAAAATATATGTGAGTGCTTTAAGAAGTAACAGTAAATAATTTTTTTATATATTGGATTCAATTAAAAATTACAAATATAATATGTCATTGTTCTACATAATCATCTTCTTTTTCAATGTAATTTTTTGCAAGTACGTTTTGAAAGATTTGAGAATGATGTTGAGATCAAAGGAGTGATGCATTCCTGACTAAAGGCACAATGAAAAACTTTTTTTAAACAGAATAAAGCAGTTAGCACAATGTTATAAAAATTGCATTGAAAAAGATGATTACATAAAACAATGACGCATTATTTGAAATCTTTAATTGAATTAAATATATCAAAAAAATTATTTGCTGTTATTTTTTGAAGCACTCACCCGTATATTGAACGAATATTTCATTTGAAGGTACAGTTTTATCTACATATTAACCCATATTGCAAATAATTTTTAACATATATTTACTTACCTTTCTTCGTCCTCGGTATCGTCAAATCGACTTAAAAATTTTTCTACTTTAATAGCAGCTTGAAACGTATCAAAATTTTTTCTTTTTACAATGCATTTTTGTTTCGACCAATTATTAAAATCGGGTAAAACACTATCATCTTTCCTAAGGTTTAATCCTTTTCGTCCTGGTGGCCAATATAAAATTTCGTTTTTTTCCCAACTTTCGGGCACAACACACAAGTTTTTTTCACCATCTTCAATAGTTTCAACAATGATAAACATTTTTATTTTTTAATACAGACAGCACGGTCAAATTTTAGGTTAAGGTAGATCACTATATGGAAAGTTTATGCGCGCGTGCGAACTACAGCCAAATTACAGCTAAAATAGCTGTAATCTGGCTGTAATTTGTATGTCATAGCAAAGTTTATGCGCGCGTGTTAATTACAGCCAGATTACAGCTATTTTAGCTGTAATCTGGCTATAATTTGTATGTTATAGCAAAGAGTAACATGACTTTCAATTTTATGTTAAATTTAGTATGTATCAGCGATGGTCAGCGGACCCATGCGTTCACTTATTGCGAATCTAAACTTATTACTTAAGGATAGTATATAATTCTGTTATCACAGTATTTGTATGAATTTGTGTCCGCATTACTAGTATACTTATATGTAAGTTATAAATTGTAATTATTTGCAATAATTAATTAATTTTTTTTAATCTAAGCTTTTGAAGCAAAGGTTTCGGGTTGTCAGAAGTTCAATCCCAGTTAAAGCAAAAAAAATTTTTTAATATTTTTTAACCTTTTTACGGAATGTTAAAATTAAAATTTAACTTTTATTGAATATTAATTATCCATTATTTGTATTGCTTGAATATTAATTATCCGTTATTTGTATTGCTTACTCCGATTGCTGTAATGTAGCTATGACAACGTCTTTACATCAAAATAGCTGTGCAACCGTATGACTGTGACAATGTCTTTACAGCAAAATAGCTGTGCAACCATATGACTGTGATGACGTCTTTACAGCAAAATAGCTGTGCAACCATATAGCTGTGACATCATTTTCAAAGCTTAAAAATGTTGTCCCACTTTTGCTGTTACAACTTTCTCAAAACGTCATAATGATGTAGTAGCTGTGGTAGACAAAAATGCTGCAGTTTAAGCTACGACAACGTTATCGCAGACGTTTTAAAGCTTCATGTTTTACTTGGGTTAATTCTCTAATATTTTTCCGTATTTCTCGCATCGTATTTTACGCCTAACGCGGTTAGGCAGTAATTTTCCGTCGCGTAAAAGTCCGCGAGCAATTACTAGACGACGTCAGCGATAAAATCTTAATACATTGTACCTATGTATCGGTAGCTATTATCGCATTTCTCTCTGAGAAACACGCTCGCCGAGACGAACGGGTCTCGTTACGGCGGAATTTAATTGCTGCTGAATCGATGTTTCGTTTGCGGTCTTGCGCAATACGCGCGCCTTCGTTCATTCATTATCTGAGTATATAATGCGCTGATAATGCAGCGTAAGTCACGAAAGAGGAGAATCACTTTCAAATCTTTCGCGAGAAATCATGGATAAAAATTATACTCGATACTCACGAACATACACGCTTTCTTTATCTTTAATGAAGATCGTTTCTCTCTTTTGTTAAAACATTATGCTTCTTGAGTTTGTGTATATAATTATAAATAAAAATAAATAATATTTTCCCCACGTTTATAAATTAACAATTATGAATAAATCGAAATTGTTGAAAACAATTAAAGATCACATGCCGATGGAAATCACAAAGATTTAAAATTTGGCATATAATGTATATATATTAAAGAATGCACGACCATGCCTAACCGTGTCTAATGTTTCTGTTTCAGAACAAGCTAATCACTTGAACCTGTTCAACAATCGCCAGCAACGAAAAAGAAGCGCAAGAGTCGGACCGCGTTCACGAATCAGCAGATTTTCGAGCTGGAGAAGAGATTTCTGTATCAGAAGTACTTGAGTCCGGCCGACAGGGACGAGATTGCCGCTCNTATAACAACATATAATACAATCCTAAAAAAATCATAAAAATGAAAAGGTCAGGGCCATGTTCAAAACAAGGTACTCAAAAATTTAAACCTTAAAAATTAAACGATCTAATAATAAATTATCACGAAAAGTAACGATATGTTATTCAAGGTGCCAGTTCAAGTTGAACATACGTAAAGTGTATATTATCTAAATTTAGTAATAAATATACCATAAAAAGTAACTGTGATATTTTATTCAAGGGTGGAAGTTCACATTGAACATACATACATATAAGTAAAACTGATTACAATTTGATTCTAGAAAATAAGTGCGATATGTTATTCTTAGTGCACAAAATATAATAGTCGTTTATAGGGATTTGATTTGAAATTCATACTAGCCCGTACAATGAAAAATAATTGCTCGTAATTCCAGAGTACCAATTTGTTAATGACTCAGAAAAATAACATGGCGGCCTGCTCTCAAAAAACTTTTGATGGATAGAATAAATAATTGAAATAATTGTAAAAATTGTATAAATTAAAAATCTCCAATCTTTCTTTAGTAAAATTTCCCGTTAATGACCATCATTAACCTAGACAAGGTGGCATATGTGATTGGGATTTAACATTATCAGTTGAACAGACATAGAAAAGTTTTGTTGTATGCATCGGTTCAGTGTTTGAATAACCATGTACTATCCATATACTGTAAAGCACAAATTCTTTATTTCTATCATAAATAATATCTATTTATTAAAATTTTAGCAGACGTCTTTTAAATAGAAAATAGTGTCTTGCGATCATGAAGAATAGGTTTTGAATAGCAAGGTTTCATTTGACTTACAATTTTCTTCAGAAACACAGAAGAAAAAAGGTATTTGTATATAGTTTTGTATATTCACTTCGTTGTGTGTAGAGCTTTTAAAAATACAACGTTGAATCCTTATTCTAATCTAATCTTCTTCTAATGTAATACTTTTCGTACTTCAAATGTTGTAGTAATTATTCTGTAAGAGCTTCGACATTATTTCTAAATGGACATCGAAAAACATCATAGTTTTTTGAGAGCAGGCCGCCATGTTATTTTTCTGAGTCATTAACAAATTGGTACTCTGGAATTACGAGCAATTATTTTTCATTGTACGGGCTAGTATGAATTTCAAATCAAATCTCTATAAACGACTATTATATTTTGTGCACTAAGAATAACATATCGTACTTATTTTCTAGAATCAAATTGTAATCAGTTTTACTTATATGTATGTATGTTCAATGTGAACTTGCACCTTGAATAAAATATCAGTTACTTTTCATGGTAATATATTTATTGAGATGAAATATTTTTATTGTGTCTTGTTTACGCCCGAATGAGGTGTTTGTCATGAGGGCAAATTGGCATATTATTCGCGAGGAGCGCTGTTGCCGCCGGTAAGCGCTCGATGCTTCGTCTTGTACTGCAGAGGCAGTCTCTATTGTGCTCTCGATATCCGTGTATCGAGCATTTTGTCAAGTCACATTACACGAGTTATATACTGTGCTCAATAAACGTGTTTCTTTCTTTTTCTTTTTCACTTATTACGCTTTGTCTTATTCACTTTCCCGTCAGAGTTTCCACTCATGTTGTATTAATATTGCCAACATGGTAGCAGAACGTGGTTCTCTGTAAAAGTGAATAATTGCGTGTAACCGTAGTGAAACGAGCAGTGCCATTTCACGAGTTTCTTTGCTTTCTCGAGTTTCATTGTCGCGTCGCCATCAGTGAATCGGACAACCGGAAACATGGAATCGATGTTCCACGGTATCGAGAAATTGAGCGGGGCCGAGAACTGATGTACGTGGAAATTCGCAGTCTGCAATTTACTGCGAGGTACGGACAATGCATACGAGGTATGCATCGGTCAAGTGACTAAACCGGAGACATTGAGACAGAATGCTAATACGATAGACCAAGCGACATATAGTGACGCACTCAAGACGTGGGACAAGGCTGACCGCGCGGCAAGCCAAATCCTCATCAAAACACTCGAGCCGAAGGTCATAGCATTACTGGTGTCATGCGATACTGCGCGAGACATGTGGATGAAGCTCCACGCGACGTTCGAACAGAAGACGAAACAATCAGCACACACAGTGCAGTCGGAATTCTTCAATTTCCGCATGTGTGCTGGCGACAACATGGTGGAGCACATCACAAAGTTTGAAAATGTCGTTTATCGCATGAGACAATTAAGTGTTGCTCCGGATGAGGCATCGCAAGTAGTGAAACTGGTGGATACTCTCCCAGACAGTTTCGATGGTCTTCGCCAAACATGGTGGGCAAGACAGGAAGAACAGCAGACATATTCAAATTTGGTTGAGCTCTTGACTTCCGATGAGCGCAGTCGTAACGACCGGAAACAACGTAACGACGAGTTGGTGGCGCTCGTTGCGGCCACTACCGCTAAAGCTAAAAAGGAAAACTCAACGAAGGGCGCTACTGGGCAGCAACGGAAGTCTGCGAAGAAAAGTGGGCGTGGCCCGCGGTGCTACAAATGTAATGGTTTCGGCCACATTAGTAAAAATTGCTCCACACAGGCAAAGAAGAGCAATACGAGCGAAAAATCGAAAAGTGCTGTCACCGAAGCGTTAAATGCAGAAGTGCTTTGTGCGAGAAGTGAATGTGATTCGTGGGTGCTCGACTCCGGAGCATCGTATCACATGTCGCGACATCGCGAGTGGTTCACAAACTATAAACTGTTCGATACTCCAATCAAAGTGTATCTCGGAGATACTAAGGCTACTATGGACGCTGTTGGAGCAGGACGCATCGATTGTGAGGTGTCGATCGACGGGAAGTGGCTGCCGCGTCATCTTGAATACGTGCTACACGTGCCGTCGTCGCGGAGAAATTTATTTTCTCAATCTTCTGTACTCGACAAAGGAATGCAACTGAAATCTTCCGATCGAGAGTGCGAGTTTACAAAAAGGGCAAGGCCATGGTGCGCGGTGTACGGAGCGGGCGCTTATTTAAAATGTTGTTGCGGGCCGTCCCGCAGAGTGAGGTGTGCGAGTCAAATGTCGCGGAGCCGCAGTCGCTGCAAATGTGGCATGAACGACTCGGGCACCAAAATAAGCAACACGTAAAACAGTTTTTAAAGGAACGCGGTGTTAGAGTACTTGATGATGACATTTTCTGTGCTGCATGTGTGCAAGGGAAGCAAAAACGGAGCAGTTTTAAGTCGCGACAGCAAAGAGCAACAACACGAGGTGACGTTATTCACGCCGATCTGTGTGGTCCCATGGAGGTGGATTCCTTGGGTGGGGCGAGATATTTTCTGTGCTTCACGTGTGACTTTACGAGACATCGCATCGTTGATTTTCTCAAGGAGAAATCAGAGGCAGCTGCGAAAATCGACGAAATGGTAAGATTAGTGTCTAATCTATGTGGTCGATCCGTGAAAGCGCTGCAATGCGACGGCGGACTAGAATTTAATAATTCTAAAGTAAAGTCGATTTTGAAGGCGCATGGCGTACAGTTAGTCATTACGAATCCATACACGCCAGAACAGAATGGATGCGCCAAGAGGACCAATCGGACTGTGGTGGAGTTGGCACGGACAATGATGTTGGCCCGAAACATGCCAAAGTTCCTGTGGGCAGAAGCAGTGAATACTGCTGTGCATGTTCTAAATCGTACGGGACCCAGTCAAGTCGTCGGCAAATCACCGTACGAGGCATTTACCGGGAAGAATGCTCGGCTCGAAAAACTTCACGCGTTTGGTGCCACGTGCTTCGTGCATGTTCCCAAGGAGAGACGAAAGAAGTGGGATTCCAAGGGACAGCGGGGCACGTTTGTCGGGTACAGCGACGACATCGACGGCTATCGCATCTACATACCGGGGGGCAAGAAAATCGTTCGCAGCAAGAGCGTTGTCTTCGAACCGGAGAAAGCAGGCACAGCGTTTGCCCTGTTTCCAGTGGAGGAGACAGTGGAGGATGTCGCTACTCAACGTGATCCGGAACGCAACGATGACTGGTTCGATGCCAACGATGCAACTGAGCAAGATGGTGACAAGACACTGAGTGAAGAATCTCTCCTTGAGTCACCAGGCATAAGTCCACCGAATCTGCGCGATAGAGCAACGATCAAAGCGCCTGATCGTTTTGTTCATGCTATGCTGACTGAGATTCAAGAGCCGATTAATTATCAAGGGGCTATCAGGTCAGCAGAGGCGCAGAAGTGGAAAGAGGCGATGAAAGAAGAGATGGAATCGTTGGAGGAGAACTCGACGTGGTCCTTGGTCAAGCTGCCAAAGGGTCGAAGGACAATCTCCAATCGATGGGTGTTTCGAGTAAAGCGCGGTCCTGATGGCGAAGTATTGCGTCATAAAGCGCGACTGGTGTGTCGTGGCTTCAGCCAGAGAGAAAGAGTCGACTTTAACGAGACATTCAGCCCTGTCGCTCGTTTCGACACAATTCGAGCAGTGTTGAGCGTCGCGGCTGGTGAAGGTCTCAAGTTGGCGCAGTTTGATATAAAAACTGCATTTTTAAATGGACTCCTGGAAGAGGAGATATACATGGATCAGCCAGAGGGATTCTAAGATGGCACAGATCGCGTCTGTAAGCTAGAGAAGAGTCTCTACGGACTCAAGCAGTCGCCGCGCTGCTGGAACAAGAAGTTCAAGGAGGTGCTACTACGCTTTGGACTCGGTAAAAGCCAGGCTGATCCCTGCCTGTATTATCGACGAGAGGAACGTCGAAAGCTGCTGGTTGTCTTATATGTTGATGATAGCCTAGTAGCAGCTTCTAACCAAGAAGACATCGACGCACTGCTGAAGTGCCTCAAGGAAAACTTCAAGGTTACCCACGAGCCGCTTGGGTATTTCTTGAGCGTAAACATTACGCGCAGAAGTGATGGCTCCATTTTCATCAATCAAAAGCTGTATGCCGAAGAAGTGCTGCAACGATTCCGCATGGCAGAGGCAAAACCAGTGTCAACGCCAATCGTGCAGTACCTGCAGGCAAATGAGGTTGAGAATCCGACATCAACTTCTGCACCGTATAGAGAGGCAATCGGCTGCCTCATGTATCTGGCTGTCGCCACGAGGCCTGACCTCGCATTCAGCGTAAGCTACATGTCGCAGTTTCTCGAGCAACCATCGGAGTTGCAGTGGACACTGGTGAAGAGGATCTTCAGGTACCTGAAGGGATCGACGGACAAGGGCATCGTCTACAGGGCAAATGAAGCAGGGTTGCTTCATGTTTACAGTGACGCCGACTACGCCAGCGATCCAGTGACAAGAAGATCTGTGAGCGGAATGGTCAGCCTGTACAGTGGTGGTGCCGTATCATGGGCCAGTCAAAGGCAAAAGTGCGTGAGTCTGTCTACAACAGAGGCAGAGTATATCGCGGCGAGTGAGGCAGCTAAAGAAGTAGTCTGGCTGTTTCGCCTGTACGACGAAATTGTCGTACTGCAATCAGTGCCCAAGTTGTTCGTCGATAACGCAAGTGCGATAAAGCTGGTTAAAAACCCCGAGTTTCACAAGCGCACAAAGCACGTTGACGTGCGATACCACTTTGTGCGTGAAAAATTGAGCGAAAACCAGCTAGCGGTTGAGTTTGTTAGCAGTGAATACCAAGCAGCCGATGTGTTTACAAAGCCAATGTCTCGCATTAAATTCGACAGACTGTGTGCATTGATTGGTATGATAAATGAGTAATTATTCCGAAATTGGGTGCACGTATGATTGTTGTTAGTATGTACCACAGTTAGGCACCGATCTGAAGGTGACAAATGTATGGGCTATGCAAGCGGTTCGTATGTACGTGTGAGACGTTTGTCAAGCCTCTTAAATTAAATGTAAAATTTCAGGGGAAGTATTGAGATGAAATATTTTCATTGTGTCTTGTTTACGCCCGAATGAGGTGTTTGTCATGAGGGCAAATTGGCATATTATTCGCGAGGAGCGCTGTTGCCGCCGGTAAGCGCTCGATGCTTCGTCTTGTACCGCAGAGGCAGTCTCTATTGTGCTCTCGATATCCGTGTATCGAGCATTTTGTCAAGTCACATTACACGAGTTATATACTGTGCTCAATAAACGTGTTTCTTTCTTTTTCTTTTTCACTTATTACGCTTTGTCTTATTCACTTTCCCGTCAGAGTTTCCACTCATGTTGTATTAATATTGCCAACAATATTATTACTAAATTTAGATAATATACACTTTACGTATGTTCACTTTAAACTGGCACCTTGAATAACATATCAGTTACTTTTCGTGATAATTTATTATTAGATCATTTAAATTATTAAAGGTTTAAATTTTTGAGTACCTTCTTTTGAACATGGCCTGACCTTTTCATTTTTATGATTTTTTTAGGATATAAATTATCCACAAAAATTCCGTTGACGAAGCAGATGAACAGCAAATCGGAAAGAGCTTTCTTCTCAGCAACACATACGAGTACATACACACACAGGACACGGAAATACTTGTTGCGCGGCAAAATTTAAAAGTGATGCTTATTACAAAATATGTTATATAACATTTAAATAATGCTAACGCAACGCTCGTTATATAACATGTTATATTTTCATTTTATTGTTGTTATACTGTTATAACTAGAAAATACCAAAAAATATAACAGTTTAAAAATACAGTTAAATTGTAGTTACAAAAGAAAATTATGTAACATCAACATTAATAATTTATAACTTCTGTTATATTACGTGTTACTTGTAGATTATATAATAATTATAATCTGTGTTTGCTGGGATATATGTATATGACAGTAAGTTAACAATCAGTTAACAATCGGTTCGGTAGTTGTCTAAAGTTGTATCGACAAGTCGTATCATATTGCATTGCATGCAGCAAATAAGTCACTTTTATTAAATATTGCAACGTCGCGTAACATTTGGTCACATATGTATACGGCGTGCGAAATCTATCTAGGTATACATGAGTGTATTAATGATCGATATCCTTTTACAACGAGATTGCCTTAACGATCGAAGCTAATGATAAATCAACAGATCTATTATAGAATACATGTATATAAATATATCACTCTTGAGTCTCAAGTGCTAGATGCACTTTAAGCTAATGAATCAATGTATGTTTTATATTTATGCCCGCATATCCTTCTGTCTACAATAATTCTGAACTTTTAATAAATCTCCATCAATTTGACTTGTAAAGAATTATACCACATAAAGAGTTTATTTAAAAATGGCTCAGTAAAGTGAGAATATATTATTTTGTATTATTATTATAATTATTTTGGAAAAAGCATTTAATAGTAAAATAAAATTATCACATTTATATATTCGTTAGAATTAATTGTATAATATACAAATAATGTGTGTGCGTATGTGTGTTGTAATTAATGTTTTACACACATTTTACATGAAAAATGTATAAACGCAAGTGACTTAAGTTTATTAAGACTCGTTTATCGATTGAAATACACGTGTAATTATATTTTTGCGGTGTGTATTATGAGACACTCAAAAAATCATGACCATCGAGAATTTCAACGCATGGTATTTTTATCAGACTTCATTGAAAAGGCGTCAGTGGTAATATACTTCCTACTGAGCTGCAAGATTGGTCCATTGCTAAAAATAAAGGTGTACGATTCGGTAAGCTACAAGAGTTCGTTCGTTATTTTATAAAACGTAAATATTTATGGAACATCGAATATACATATATACATTTAACTTCGCGCTGGAAATCTCGACGTTTCCGAAAACAAAAATTCGAACGCACAAATAATTATTTTAGAATATCATCAAAATGTTGCATCTCGCTTTTTATCTCTTTTTTTTATTGCGCATGTTTTATATAACACTACTTAAAATATATTTAAAAATAACTGTGAGACGACCCAACTGGCTGAAATTGATTTTTATTATTAGTTTGATGTCATATACAAGAAAAGACTTTTCTTGTATATGACATCAAACTAATAATAAAAATCAATTTAAGCCAGTTGGGTCGTCTCACAGTTATTTTTAATTTTATTCATCACTGGCGGTACAAGATACCTGCTATTAATTAAAAATATATATATTCAAAAATTGAACATTGCGATTGCAATTGTAAATATAAGAATAAAAAATGTATTATAGAAAAGAAAATATATAAATTTATTAATAATAAGGTTTTTAAAAATTTATCTGAAGAAGAAAAATGTTTGAAAATTTCTCAAAATCTCGATCAACAACTTTAAAGACGTCAACGTTATGGATAATTATAATTATAATTTTTAATATATTTAATATATTTATATATATTTATATATATTATATATATTTTGTAATATATTTAATAATATTTAATATATATTTTAATATATTTTGAATTATAATTATAATTTTTAATTTTATATTATAATTTTTTCACTCTCTTTTTTACCATCTTTTGTTACTTTTGTACCATCTTCTGCAAGTCTATTTTCATCTATGACTTTGTTCTCATCTACGACTACATCATCTAAATCTATTTGGTCTTTTAATGTTTCTGTTTCTTCTACGATATTTAACATATTTTTTTTCTTTTCTTTGGATTTATTTATATTTTTCTTCCGAGATTTATTTACTGAATCGCACTGTTCTCCTTCTATGTCTTTTACTACTTCACTTTCATTATCTTTGCAACTATTTTTTAAATCATTTTTACAACTTTTACTGTGAATCGTATCCTTGGTCATGTTGATAATCGATGAAACCGATGATTTAGTTGTTTCGTTATCGTGCGCCGTTTCTTCATGAACATGATCTTCGTCGTTATTAGACTTTCCTTTTTCTTCAGTGGTTACTTTTGTACCATCTTCTGCAGATACATTTTTATTTTCTTCTTCATCAAAATTGTTAAACAATGAATGACTACATTTGGATGTAGAGGAAGATGTTTCCTTCGCTACAATATCATTCTGTATATCCGTGTCTTTACTATTCAATGTGTCAATGTCTCTGTCCGTTGATGCCTTTCTATTTTTGTTTTTTGTATTTTTTTCTTCTGTATTTTTTGTTTCTCCTGTATTCTGTTCTATTTCAACAGAAGTTACTGTTCCATTTGACACAGACGATTCTACACACTGTTCAGATTCCTCCATCATCTTTTCATCGCTTTGATATTTCGCAGATTCGTCTACACACAATTCATTTTCTGTGTCTAGTTTGTCAGTCACATTACAACTTTCACTATTTGTTTCTTTCTTTTCTACATCTTCCTTTCTCGTTACACTTGACATTTCTTCGTCCGTATCTTCGATATTAATCTCATCTCTACATTTTTCAATTACGGTTTTTTTCGCTTCTTCGGATATTTTATCTTCTTCCGAATCGAGTTTCAATTCTTGTTTCAACTTAATATTTGAAATAGTTAATCTTTCCAATTTTAACAAAGTTTGAAGGAGATGCGTTGGTCTGTGTTCTGCGCTTTCCAGCTTGGTGTCAAATTTCTTACCGCACATGTCACAAGTGTGGCATTTTTTCTTATCTTCCGGCGATGATACAGATTTCGGACTTTTAAGTCTTTCCGCCAATGATACCGTTTCGATACTAGAGATAGAAGATGATCTTGTTCTTTTGCGAACGTTCTTTTCCTTGCTCGCGCGCGCAGTTGAAGCTTTTCTCGTCATTCTTTTCGAATTTGTATCTTTCGGGGATGATTCATTGGTAGATTCTGAATGTACATTTGTAGATATTCCTTCAACAATAGTTTTCAATTTCTTTCTATCTGGCTTACTTGAGGAAGGTGACAGACTCTCTGTCTGACTTTTTGATTTTTCTTTTAAACTCGATGGAGAAGTATCAAAGTCAGAACTAATAGCGGCTGCTCTTTTACGTCGTTGTCGCGTCGAACAAGTGGTAGACTCCAGTGGTTGCTCCATGTCAGACGATGTCTTTGCTTCAGTTGCATTTGCAGGTTTTTTGCTTAATTTTGTTACTTTCGTTGGTGTGCTCTCGACATCCTCGTTCTTCTCAGCGTTGATTTGTCGTTTCTTTCCTTGTTTTCTGTTATCGTTAACAGCATCCTCACTCTTAGGCATGATATTTAAAAAACTTCCAGATAATCTATCTTCTGAATTGTCATTAGATTTATTATCTTGATTTTTTTCTATCTTAAATTCTTTTTCACTCTTTTTGTCAAGCACATCTATCAAAAAGACTGCACATAATTTTGTTTCGGTCAAATTGGGTTCTACCTCTCGTGATCGCAGTTTTAATTTGTCTTTACTTGGATCCATTGTTATCCAACAATTTCTGCATACTGTTAGACGCGAACGATTAAATCTATACATATCAGTACCATTCGGAACAATATTATGACACTTGTCACACTTCCGGACTTTTAATTTCACATTGTTTCGTGATTTAGTTTGTGCATTGCTTCGCTCCGTGCGATTTTTAGCACGCGTTTTATTACATTTCATATTCTCACTATTTTTGCTATCGGAATTTATTAGATCATAGAATATAATATCCGGAAATATTGTAACAGTTGTTTTCCGATTTACAACATCTGTATATATCTGCAATTTAAAAAATGTAATTTTGTAATACTTTGTTTAAAAAGATGTTTGATCGAAGTAAAAATAATATCAAGAAGCATACGTATATTATTCGTAATAAGTCCTTATTACCTTTGGAAAATTTGAATAATCTATTTTGTTATTAATCAAGGCCTTCAGATTGATAATTACTTCCTGGTATACTTTTCTCAAATCATATAAAACATCCAAATTATATCGACATGTCAGACATATCAGTTTAGAATTGTCATTCTTCTTAAGCTGCATGTAAAAAAACAATATATAAAGTTAATTTCTTAATTAGTTAATTTAATCTTAATATAGAATAATAGTACATATTATTTGTCATACAAAAGATAAAAAAATAAGGATTTAAACTTACGTCCTCATTAAAGATCTTGCGGATTTTCTGTAAAGGATTAAAGATTGCACGATTGTCCTTGGTAATATCAAATATGCGGTTATTTTCTATATGTTCAAAGCACAAACAGCAACACGGCATTGATGTTTCAGCTTCCGGTTTTGAGGCATCATGTGATTTCTTATACTTTTGCACAAATTTGGCGCACTGACCTAATTCGTACGCACATTTATAGCATATCTTGTTCGACAATTTGATGTTTTCATTTACCTATGATAAAAGAACTGATTAGAATCGTTTCAACTCTTTCTTTCTCTCTCTCTCTTTCTTAATTTTTTAATCATTATTTTTAATAAATTTAAAGTGTAAGACAGACAATAAGAGCCAATTGCGGAAGACGGTGCGTTATCCCAACAAAACTAAATTTTTTCGTTAGAATTAAATATCTGTGCACAAGGCACCAAATTTTATTTGGTCATTGCCAAGATTTTAAAATATGAAATAATCTCATATTTGAGATTTAATTTTATTAAAGATAGTATTAAAAGTGTTTAAGTTCAGCGCGTTTTTTTTTGTTTCTCCCTAATGTATAGATACGTAACTCCCTATGAGATTTCCTCAGTAGGCGAGTCGAGTGCAATTCAGTTCCTTACTGCACACACGTCGTACGACACAGTCCGAGTTACGAAGCGGTCAGAGAGATTGTTAGAAAGACAAAATAAAGTTCTATACGTGCTTCATATATCGACTTGAGATTTTTCTCAGCCCATTCACACAATCCAGCTCCAACAGGTTATGGGCCCAGTCGCGGTTTAACTGCGCGGAAAATTGTGTGAACGCGGCGAGAACTTTGTCGGGAAATCGCACGTGGCGAGAAGCAAAAAAGGTCGGCCATTGTTCGAGTGCCGGTGTCAACGTGCAACAAGTGCGCGAGTTAGTAAAACTTGCGATGTCTGTCGGAATCTCGGTGAAGGGTGTGAAGCCTTTTGATGGAACGAATTTCCAGGGCTGGAAACCACAAGTAAAAGCATTATTTATCATGAATGATGTTCTGGATATGGTAGATGGCACGAGGGGAGCGCCAGCCGCGGGAGCCGGACACGCGGCCGCGTTGAAGAAAAATGTTAAAGACGATGCGACAGCAAAGTATATAATCCTGTGGAATCTCGACGAAGCCCAACAAGTGTGCGTACTATCGTGCATTTCCGCGAAAGAAATGTGGGACAAACTGTGTTTAATCCACGAGCAAAAGACAGTGACTAACAAGCTGGGTTTGCTAAAGAGGTTCCACGAATATTGGATGAGCGAAGCGGACACGGCGGTACAGCACGTGGCCAGAGTAACGAATATGGGGAGTCAGCTCAAAGACGTCGGCAAAGACGTGTCGGATGCCATAGTAATAGCGAAAATTCTCGCGAGTTTGACCACGAGGTTTAGTACGCTCTAAGTGGCATGGGATAGCGTAGATCTCGCACGCGCGGACAAACTCTTGACAATCTCCAGGAAAGGCTGATTAGAGAGGACGCGAGAATCAAGAACGACAAAGATTCTTCAGAAGCGCTGGCCAAAAATCGACGATCGCAAGGAGCGAAAAGTGCCGGAAACAGGAAGAATAAAAATAAAAAAAAACGAAGGACATACAGTGTTACAAGTGTCAAGGTATGGGACATTTTGCAAATCAGTGTCGTAATAAGCGGAAGCCTCGTAAAGACGGCGAAAAATCCCGCGACTGCACATTCGCAGCGGAAACGAATAAAAGTGTGATCGCGTCGAGTTCAAGTAGTGCCGATAACGCTCGTGTACTGTGGACGCAAAGTCAAGTAATGGCCGCCAATCAAAGTAAAGTCTGGCTTATCGACAGCGGTGCATCTAGGCATCTAACTTACCGACGCGACTGGCTAACCGACTACAAGACGGATAAAGCAGGTGCTACGATATCACTCGGTGACAATCAAATCTGCAACGTCGCTGGTGAAGGCACGGTGCAAATCAAAAAATTTATCGACGGCATGTGGCACGACGCGCGAATTGAGAAAGTGCTGCATGTTCCGAAATTGCGCAAGAACTTATTTTCCATCGGAATGTGTACGAAAAAGGGATTCGAAATGCAATTTAAGAATAGGATCGAAGTGGTGCGCGATGGTGAAGTGCTCGCGACGGGCATGAAACAGAGTAACGATGTGTATCGTATGTTCTTCAAGGTCGCGAAACAAGGAAGTACCGACGAAGCGAACATAGCCATAACAAATTTAACTGTGTGGCACGAGAGATTGGGACACATCGGGAAGCGCGCGATACGCAAAATGGCCGAAAAAGGACTGGTAAGTGGAGTGTCTATTACCGATAAAGATGACGTTTTCTGCGAACCATGTAAATTGGGGAAATCACACAGGCTGCCGTTCAACAATAAATTGGAGCGTGATAAGAAGATAAAACCTGGCGAAAAAATGCACTCGGACGTATGCGGGCCGATGTCAACAAATTCGGTAGAAGGCTCGAGGTACTTTTCAATCTTCAAGGATGAAGCGACCGGCTACAGACAGGTATACTTCATGAAGAGGAAATCTGAGGTGTACGATAAATTCAAGATCTTCGAGAAGATGATCGAGAACAAGTTTGGTCGGAAAATGAAAACATTACGCTCGGACAACGGTAAAGAATTTAGCAACAAGGACATGATCAATTATCTCGAGAAACGCGGAGTCAAGCGAGAAACGACCGCGCCGTACAACCCTGAGCAGAACGGCAAGGCCGAACGCGAGAATCGAACAATAGTCGAAAGCGTACGCACGATGATAATTGCAAAAATCTTCCGTTGTGTCTGTGGGCAGAAGCAGTGAATTGTGCGGTATATGTTCTCAATCGGACCGTGTGGACGAGAGGTGCAGTAACACTGTATGAAGCGTGGACTGGAAAAACCCCAAATTTGAAGCATCTACGAATTTTCGGTTCCGACGTGTACGTGCACATTCCCAAACAATTTACGCAGAAATTCGATGCGCGAGCGAGTAAGATGTTCGTTGGATACACGGAGGAATCGACGAACTACCGAGTATATGACCCTGAATCCAATAAGGTCAGCATAGCACGCAATGTCGTGTTTAACGAAGAAATCGGAGCTCCATCGGTGAGAAAAGATGAGAAGAAAGAAAAAGACGAAATAATTCTACCACGAACGACAGCCGAAAGTGAAAACAGAAACGTGACCGACGCCGAAGAAGAAGTTGACAACAACGAAGAGGAAGAAGAAGAGGACGACGACGAGTTCGAGGAACGAGTGAACAAGCAAGCACAAAAAGTTGCAGTAGTCCTGCGGGATCGCTCGAGAATCAAGACTCCGGCAGGTACCGGCACGACGCCAACGCTGCCGAGTACATCGCACCGACAACGTATGATGAAGCCACGAATAGTACGGAAGCCCTGTAGTGGAAAGATGCGATTAAAAACGAACTCTCAGCCCACGAGGAGAACAACACATGACAACTTGTGAAAAGAACGCCGGAAATGAGACTGATTGACTCGAAATGGGTGTTTCGAGTAAAGAAGGATGAAGACGGGAAGTCACATCGATTCAAAGCACGTTTGTGTGCGAGAGGATTTCTACAGCGTGAGGGGATTGACTTCAAGGAAACCTTCTCTCCAGTGGTGCAATATGACTAATTGAGAGTATTGCTGAAAATAATAGCATCAAAAGATCTTGAAGTAATGCAGTTTGACGTACAAACTGCATTCCTATACGGAAAACTGGAAGAAACGATATACATGGAAATTCCGGAAGGACTCCAGATAAAAGAAGATCCCAGGAAGGTAGCATGCAAGCTCGAGAGATCTCTCTACGGGCTAAAACAAGCTCCAAGATGTTGGAACCTAAGATTCACCAAGTTTTTGAACGAGTTCAACTTTGAAGAGTGCGAGGCAGACAAGTGCGTGTTCACAGGAAAATTCAAAAATGACACAGTATATTTAGCGATATTCGTCGACGACGGCCTGGTTGCAACGAGCAATGTAGAGACTCTTGAGATAATAATCCAACGGCTAAGCGAAACGTTCAAGATAACTGTAGAGAATTCAAATGTTTTTGTCGGGCTGTAAATCAAACGCGATAGAGAGCGAAAGACGTTACTAATTCACCAGAGTTCGTATACGCGAAGGATAATTGAAAAATTTGGAATGGCGGACGTAAAAACGGTGAGTGTGCCGGCGGATCCTCACGCAATACTGACCCCAGCCGAAAAGGATGACGATAAATTAAGTAACATGCCGTATCGCGAAGCAGTCGGGTCACTAGTCTTCTTGGCGTCCGTATCGAGACCGGACATCGCGTTCGCGGTAAATTCAGTAAGCAAATACTTGTGTAAGCATAACGCAACACACTGGCGAGCGGTAAAAAGAATATTTGCGTATCTTAAAGGCACAATCAATTTCGGTATCGAGTATGTAAGCGGCGGTAGCGAAGTAGCATTAATAGGTTTTTCAGACGCTGACTACGCTAGAGATATCGAAACGAGAAGATCCACAACCGGATACGTTTTCTGTATTGCAAATGAAGCTGTCACGTGGTTGTCGCAGCGGCAACGACTGGTGACGCTAAGTACGACGGAAGCCGAATACGTTGCTGCATATCTGCAGAAGCGCGAGAAGTAGTATGAATAAGAAAACTGTTGTCGGACATCGGATGTCTCTGTGACAAGCAGACGACTCTATACATCGACAACCAAAGCGCAATCCAACTAGTCAGAAACCCAGTGTTTTACAAAAGGACAAAGCATATAGATGTCCATTTTCATTTTATTCGGGAAAAGGTAAACGGAAAAGAAATTAATGTCAAGTATGTTCCGTCCGAGAATCAACGCGCAGATATATTTACGAAGGCGCTGCCGCGAGATCGTTTTAGAGACATGTGTTCCAAGTTAAATATGGTAATGAGTCACGATAAACGCTCGAACGGCGGTAGTATTAAAGATAGTATTAAGAGTGTTTAAGTTCAGCGCGTTTTTTTTTGTTCTCTCTAATGTATAGATACGTAACTCCCTATGAGATTCCCTCAGTAGGCGAGTCGAGCGCGATTCAGTTCCTTACTGCGCACACGTCGTACAACACAGTCCGAGTTACGAAGCGGATCAGAGAGATTGTTAGGAAGACAAAATAAAGTTTTATACGTGCTTCATATATCGACTTGAGATTTTTTCTCAGCCCATTCACACAATCCAGCTCCAACAAATTTCAATAATCCTTTAACCCCCTACGAGAATAAATAAATGCAAGTCTTCCGCGATTGGCTCTTATTGCCTGTCTTACATTTAAATTTATGGATGCCGGAGCGTTGGCCAAACTCCGACGGGTTAACGCCATCATTTAAGTGGAATTGTCGATAATTACCGACAATTTTAATTCCGCTATTATCGACAGTAATATATATATATCTCAAAAAGCCATTTTAGTATGTTCAACATATTGAAATTAGACAACATAATATATTTTTACTGTCGAATCATCTCGCACACGCATCTAAGCGTGTCAATGACAGTAAAACATACATATATAAATGTGTCTCTTATGACATAGTTGAACACAATTTCAATATTGCTCTTTTATATATTTTGATGATATATGCATATTTTCATGTATTTTTCAAAGGAAATATACAATCTACCATATACATATATATATATATATATATATACAAGGTGGTTCAAAAGTCCGGCAACGGTCAATTATGTCCAAGAAATAGTGGTCTTATG